AGAGGCCCTGAGTTCTGAGTTGCTGGGGGAGGTGATTTTATTATTATGTTTTGAAATATAATTCATGCAACTATATGACCACTTTAAGGAAATTTACATCTTACAAAAATAAAAAAGAATTTTTAAGACATTTTAAATTTGCTTCTAAAAGATACCTTAGCACTCTTTCTGAGTAACACATTCAACCAGTAGCTCCTGCAAAGAATTCATTAACTTGGATTAACTGTTTTTATTAGTAAGTTGGATGTCCTAGAAGTGCAAGGCTTTGAGGATGAACGGTAATAGGGGTATGTAAGTCTTGAGGAAAAAGAGAATATTGGATAATGGTGTTCTTGGGATATTGTCCAAAAATGTCCCAAGCCTCCAAGAGACAAAAAGAAAGTATGAAGTACCAGAGGGATGATGGAAAAAGAGAGAGAATACCACGCAGACCAACTTTGCTGATATAAAAAAATGTATCAGGATTAGCTCTCCTCTGCTTCCCAATAGATTATATTCTATATCATCCTGGTTCCAAAATGAGCCTTCCCTCTCCCTCTTGGCCCTTAACCAAGAGAAATAGACTGAACTGGTGAACTTCTAAAGGACACCCGAACCCCCGAGAGAGCTGCCTCTGGAGCCATTCTTTCCTGCATTTTCCCATCACCCTTCTGTTTCAGTCACCACTTGGCAAAAACCAACTGAGAGGTGACTGTGAATTGAATTCAAATTTGACTCCAGGAGGGAAACAGGGCCCTCCAGGCAGAGCCATAAGCCCGAGAGAAAGGGCACAAGATTAGCAGGTCACTGAGCCAGCCCAGGGCAAGGAGCCAGGAGGACACCCACCAAGAGAGAGGCAGGGAAACGGTTAATAACTCAAGGTGACAAATTAAGCCGGCTACTCAGGGGCTCCAGTTTGGCTGATTGTGAAGTCAAAACAGAACTGTCGGAAACCGGGAAGGCGCTGTCACTTTTACTGTATTTTTCCACACGTAGTTTTATTTTTTAATTTGGAAATGTTCGTGGGGAGCTGGAAAATGCAGGCTGGAGGACTCCTGGGGTCTGGGAGGGGAGACACTGTGTCTTTGCAGGATCTCCATCCAATTTGGACCAGCCGCTCCCCATGGGCTCCGGCCACCAGGGGCAGTGGGTCTCCTAGTGATTGGATCTCTTCTCTGTCCTCTGCCCCCCACCCTGTGGAAACATTCTCACCTCCTCTCGTTTTCACCGCCCCTCTGTGCCAGTGTGCAGCCTCCTGCCAAGTTACACTAACACTGTTCTCCAACCACCCGCCACACCAGCTTCCTTGTTGCTGAACCCAGCAGCTGCTTAAAGGGAGCAGATGGAGAAAGGCCTGGAACTCCCAGGCACGAGAGAGACCCTGGGCAGAGAGGCAGAGGAGAAATAAAATGCTCTGCACTGATCCCAGTCGGTATGTGGCAAGCACCTGGCTTCCTCAGTGCCCCACATTTGAACAACTAGCCCATGGGCATTCCCTAACATGAAAGGGTAAGCTCAGGATGTTTAAAACGATTGTGGGCCCCATTTCAGGGAAAGTAAAAGAAATTAGAATGAACTGTGACAAAGGTATTCTGAGGTTTACCTGCCCCTTGGATCTAAGAACCTTTGAGCTTCTTAGTGTAACCTTCTAGGCCTAAGTTTTTACTGTGCATGTACTTTCTAAGTTAGAGGATGTATGCTCATCACAACTTAACATTTAAATGATACTGTCTACATCAGAGGATATACCCTCTGCATAGGCTAATCTTATAGAGTATTTTAAATCCTGGTAGCAGGATTGATAACTTGACTTTACTATTAAAGACAAATATGGCACCCACCACCACCATCAACACACACACACACACACACACACACACACACACACATTCACGGTTCATTCTACAGAGGTATCTCCACTTGGCATTGCAATTTCAAATTTCAATTTAATGTCATCCATTCTGAAGAAGACAAAATGGTTTTACTAAGCGAATTTTAAGCAAGAGAAAAATGGAGAGAAGGCAGCACACACAAATGCAGGCATGCGCAGGTCACCCCCCACACACACCCTTTCACTCCCCTTTCTCTTCCCATGAGCACCACACTTGCTTCTGAGCACCCAAAGAGCACTAGATTTGAGAACCCCCAAACAGCTGCTGTTTTTGAAATGGCTCAGCTAGGAAAATGCTTCCCTATCATTAGGCCAAAGCTGTAATGCTCAGGCCCTGGGTTTCTTAATGATAGTTTGGGGCGAATGCCTGGTGGGTCATCCCCTGAAGACCTTATCCCACAGCTGCAGTCCCCGACCCTATCTCATGGAATAGTGCAGAAACACAATTCTTCCATTGTTCTGTGACTTGGAGACTGGGGGGGAAGGGGAACACAAACCCCCACCTCGAAAAGATTAGTGCAATTATTAGCTAACAGTAATGGCTATAAGCCAATCTGTTCTCAAATCCTCCTGAGCACCAAGTCACCTTAGAGTCTCTTAAAGCCCCAAACACAAGACTGTGTGTTTGCTTGAATTTTGCCATGTTGTTCTCGAAGGCTGCAAGGCCGGTGGTTAATGCTGCCCTTACCCACAAGGCTAATAAGCAGAGAAGGAAACAGTGAATAACGCGTGTGTCTGAGCCCTGGGTCCCCATACCCCCATAAGTCTGTAAAAGGCAGATGTCCGGTCCACACAACATTGGCAGCCGCTTCACCTTGTGTTGTTTGGGCAAAATGCTTGTCAGAACACAACCATAGATTGTGGCTTGTAGTTAGCATTAATTGTAGAATTCTCGAACACTGACGTGCTTTTTCCTTCTGTCACCTTATGATTTTTTTGACCCCCGTGCTGCCATTAGCTCTGCTGGTCATTCAAAGTCTCCCATTAGGAGGTATGAGAAAAGAAGCTAAATTCTGTTCCAGGACTTGCTACACCTGACTTATACTGCATGTGTATTTCAAACTGTAGTGTCAGAGAAATGAGGTCTTATCTTAGACTGCCCAATGTGTATTGATTAAATGTAGATGATGATGGGAAATACAAAGAAGAAAAATTCAAGGATACAAAAGTTTTTTTATATATTTACATAATGCCAAAGCAACCGATTAACTGACGGGATGTAAGTCACTGATCAATTAAGTGAAACATTAAGATAAGAACTTGTCACCTGAGTCAAAAACTGACTACTCCACTCAAGAAAGCACACCCCGGTGTAAATAAACATAGAGGTTTGTATCAACATACATCAATACCTACAGTCCAGGGAACTATTCAACCATTCCTTCAATCTTCAAACCATTACTGAATCCCCATTATGTTCCTGGCACAGTTAAAACCAGAGGCTTGATTTATTTTAGAGTAGCCATATTAAACATCTCTTATTTCTAAAGAAATTCATTTTGCTTAGAAAGCACAGGCAAAGGGAAAAAAAAGCCTCAAAGCCAAGCAAATAAAGAGGTTATTTTCTATGCAATGGCAAGCTGGGGAAGCTTTCAAGCATCTATGGTTCATTATTGGGAATACCTATATTCAACTTTGTACATGTCTATGAAATACATTTATGAGGTATTAAATATAACCCCGTTCCTACGAATTAATACCAGGTCTTTGCAGCGTTCAGCCTCATTTCTCACACAGCAGGCTATCAGAAAACTCTCTGTTGAAAAGCCTGGAGCCTGAGTCTAAGTCACCAAGTTACAATGACTCAATATTCTCCGATATTTATTCTCATACATACACCTTAACAGAACAAGTGACATACTGCTACGCTTCTATACACTTCCCACGATGTATATTGTAATACATACACTTAAACACACATGCACACACAAATCTGCCTGACATCTGGGAAGGCTAAGATTTTAGTTAAACCTCAGAAAGACTTCTGTGTAATAATTGGAAGATAACCGAAACCCCTGATGATTCATTTTCTCTACTTACAAGATGGAGGTTAAGAAAAATAATAATAATAAATGGGTCATTTGGAAAGTACCTAAAATCCTGAGGCTAAAGGTATTGTGTAGATAGAGCGGAATCTAGTTTTATAGAATGTATACATCAAACCACGCTCCGGCATTATTCACTGGTCATAAGATAGATGGGAATTTATAACTACTAGAAGAATTTTCTCCTCGGAATGCCTAGAACGAAGCAACTGATATGATCACTGTCCATAAGCCATATGGCATTTTCAAGGCTTTGTCAAGCAAATATTTGAGGTGTGTATGTCACATTCAGTTGGGCATTTCTGTGCAAACACAAGCACAGTCACAAGCCCATCAAAACCCTGTACTCCTCTCTGCAAACCCAATACAACTCCGTTCAAGTCTATTACTTGATTATATATCCGACAATGATTATTGTGATCCAGGGGGAGAACAAATAGCAAAGAATATTGAGTCTCTGGGAAACACAGAGCCCCAAACCCCTGGGTCCCACTTTCAACTTTAGTTACTTGTCAGCCCAGAGGCCCAGCCTGTGGGAAGCCAGGTCACCAGCACCTGCATGTGGATGAACTTTCTAGATAAGCGCCCTGGGTACTAACACGCCGCAGGAAATCCAATCCACAGCTGGTGCCGCTGCTCACTCACTTAACTTTCTTGCCTGGGAAACCAGGCAGGGGCACTTCACACTTTCCAACAGCTCCCTTGTTTGCTTATGGGGAGTCATGTAGATTGAGAGCAGAGGATAAATATACAGGAGGCAAGGGCAGGGGATAGAGGCCTGGCCAGGAGCAAGAAGACCCGTGATGAGAAAGTCTGCCCTTGGGGAGAAGAGTCATTCATACCTCTCTCCATCAATCCCTTGCTGATTATCCTCCTTAACTCCCTTCCCCCAATTCCTACGCATCAATACAATTCCTTTGTAGAGGTTGGCCTGCTTCTCCCCCAGCAGGTGGCCAGAAAGGGAGATTGCACATCACCCCTAGTGCCTACATCGAGGCAAACATAGAAGAAATGAGGATCACAAGTGAATCATCTGTCAAGGTTGGCAAAAACAAGATTCGACTGACAGCTTTTTAGCTACTCACCCGGATCTGGCATGAGGCTTGACCAAGTCAGGTAAAACTCCAAAATCCAAATGAGTAAGTCCAAGAGTCTCTACCCTGCCATGTATTTCTCTGCCCCTTGGCCATCGCGTGTGGTTTAGCCGACCAAGGACATGGTCCTTTTAAATTCAGCAAGGTTGTAGAACTCCCGGGTCTCAATCTAATCCTGCCTACGATTCCTCAGTCTCGAAGCTGCTTTTGAAGGCCGAAAGCACAGCGGTGGAGTGCAGAATGCTTTCTCCAGACATTAAATGAGCCCACAGAATACCTCAATCTGATCTTTTATAGTGCTTTGTTTATTACCTGTGTGCCCTTATTTCATAAGGGAACTGAGAAAGAGAGAGAGAGAGAGAGAGAGCAGGAATGATGAAGATGACTATTAGTAGCAATCCAAAGACACCTTTTCTTAAGCCTCATTCATAGCAGCAAACGTGGCCAAACAACCTAGCAATTGTTCTCTCAAATGTCACCTTTCTGTATGGGCCACTGTGCCGATAAAACTGGGCTCTCTCGTTTTCTGCTCCCCCTGCAGCCCCTCCCTGAAAAATTACGATGTTATCCTCCAGATATCTCCAGAGAAATTGAACCGACAAGGAAAGCTTTTCTTCTTCTCCCTCCCCGCACCCTCCTCCCGGTTTTTCTTTCTTCTTCACACAGCTTGAACAATTTGGCTCTGTTCTGGGTGCATTCCTGTGGCCCATTCTCTTTTGGTCCCCTGTGCAGGCCTGAGGATGGTGGGCCAGAACACAGGCCCACATTCAGACCCAGGATGGCGCTTGGGGGGAGGGCCGGGGCTGAGGAAAGTGAACCAAATGTACCTAGGATTGTTGCGCCACCAACTTAATACCTGGGCAGAAAGACAAAGGCTCTTTAGAAAGAGCCCGAGCTTCGGGGTAACCCATCCCCCCACCCTCCCAGAGTTCAAAAGATAACAGGAGCTGAAAATAAGACGCTCACATAATTAAAGTTTTCCAAGTCATTTCAGGGGACATTACACATGATGACAGAGGGCTCGCTGCTAACCCTTTTTGATGAACAATCTCTGTTAAGTAGAGAACCTTTTTCTCCTTGTGCATGTGTCTTTGTGTGCACAGGCCCATGTATCTGCACAGGTGCATCTGTGTTTGGTTGAAGCGCCTTTTTACATAAGCAGAGGCATAACTATTGCTTGGAAATCCTCTGATTTCAGGGGAACCTACAAAATGAGGAGGCCCTCTCAACGTGAACACTCTCTTATTCTCAATGAAGCGTATGTTGGCATTTAAAAATTTTTATTCATGTATTTATTTTTGCTTGGGATCCAGAATTTGTACTTGCCCATGTTAGAGGGTAGAAGGCTTGGGAATTGGTTCTGAAAGTAAAGGAAAATTAATTCCTGGGTCCATATAAATCATAAGATGTTTAGAGGGTCTTTCTTCCCAATGAGGCAGGTGCCACGCCTGTTAATACAGTCAGACCTCAGAAGGCAACTTCAGGACAGCACCTCATCATCCTTAGCGTCATGCTCCTTAGCCAAACTTTTTATTAAGATGAAGAATTTTTAGCCAGAAAGCTGTAAAGCCCTGACACAAAGAGCCAGACCTACAAGACAACTGGGAAATAAAAAGGGAACCAGTGACTGGGTGCAGTGGCTCACGCCCGTAATCCCAGCACTTTAGGAGGCCAACGACAGTGGATCACCTGAGGTCAGCAGTTCGAGACCAGCCTGGCCAACATGGTGAAACCTTGTCTCTACTAAAATTATAAAATTTTGCCAGGCATGGTGGTGGGCGCCTGTAATTCCAGCTACTCAGGAGGCTGAGGCAGGATAATCACTCTACCCTGGGAGACGGAGGTTGTAGTGAGCCGAGATCGTGCCATTCCACTCCAGCCTGGGCGATGGAGCAAGATTCTGTCTCAAAAAAAAAACAAAAAACAAAAAAAAGAACGGAACAAGTGTGCACCTTAACACCAAACAGGACTTCTGCTCTCTTGTAAATAAAACACAAATACACACTTACACCACTGCTCTAAATCACTGTTTGTTTGTTTTTCAAGAAGACTATTTGCTCCACGAGACAGGGACTATGTCGCTGAATCCCCGGCATCTAGCACATAGAAGTACTCAATAACTCTCTCTGAATGTTGAAAAATTCCAGATTCACGAGGAAGAGGAAAACAAATATACAGTGGTATGCTGGAGCTGATCCATACCCACTCACGGGAGCCGATTATTAAATTTACGAGAGTTTTCTGAGCCAATTGTTAAACCTGGCCCCTATTAAAAGTTAAATTCTATTAACTTAAAATTAAACAAATTGTATTAAAAACAAAGCCAATGAACTCATCACTTTCTTATTATTTTACTATTACCTATACTCTGGAGGTTGTTTACATCTGCTGTGTTTATATGGTGGAAATACTGTGTCCTTGGAACTGCCATGCATCTGTACCCTGCTCTTATTTCAATGATGTCACATTTTTAGCTTAAAATAGGCCATGGTGGGAACACTGACACCATGGAAATCTAAAAACGCCATAAATCATGGTTTTATAGTTTTGTAATTGTCTAGACTTGAGATAAGGATGAAGAAAATATTAATACAGATTAAACATAGAAGTAAATCATGTCAAGGGTTTTTACATTGAAAATAGCAAAATAGCAACAAAAAAAGTTAAGGAAATATTCTTCCAGTATTCAAAAACTACTCCTTGATCGAGAGAAGAAATCACTTACATCATTGACTAAGGACTGACCTTCCAACATACATCTTAATTCTTTCATTTTTTTTTTATTTTTCTAATTTTTTATTTTGAGACAGGGTCTCAATTTTTGAGGCTGGAGTGCAGTGACGTGATCTCAGCTCACTGCAACCTCTGGCTCCCAGGTTCAAGCAATTCTTGTGCCTCAGCCTCTCATGTTGCTGGGATTACAGGCGAGTGCCACCACCTCTGGCTAATGTTTGTATTTTTTTAGTAAACACGAGGTTTCACTATGTTGGCCAGACTGGTCTCAAACTCCTGGCCTCAAGTGTTCTGCCTACCTCCCAAAGTGCTGGAATTGCAGGCGTGAGCCACCGAGTCCTGTCATTATTTAATTTCTCAACAGACGTGAAAATATCAACCAGTATTTATGTTGGAACTATACTCTTTCACCAACTGCAAAAGAAAAAAATCAGTAAAATGCTTTTGTGAGAATCAAGCAGGTATATGGAATATATAATAAAGGGTATTTCATATTTTATAAAGTATTTGCAAATTGGGTGCCACACATTCTTTATACCAATAAAATTTATAAATTTATGTCTATATTTTTTATTGAATATATTTTTGAGAGCAGGTTGTTAAATATTTACCATCATACTACTGCCCAGTAGCATACCTATACGTAAGGAAAGGGGGTAATTTTAATAGTTTATAGGATAATTAAATAGAAGTATAGGATTATGTGCATATGTACATGCATGTATGTGTCCAGTCCCTCATTTAACTTGGGGTTAGTAGAGGCAGATCACAAAACACAGAGGCTATTGGTAGAAAAATAAGGCAACATGAACTATTCCTACCTGCCTTACTGTTTCATAGGGCCACTGAGAACAAGACTTATCTAAGGACAGGCAAGAAACAACACAAAAACCAGAAAGACAAATACTGCATGTTCTCACTTATAAATGGAAGGTAGTAATGTGTCCACATGGCCATGGAATACAGAATGATAGACATTGGACATCTGGCAGGGTACGGGAGTGAAGCGGGGGCCAAGAGTGAGAAATTACCTAATAGATTCAATGTACATTATTCAGGTGATGGCTACACTAAAGGCTCAGACTTCACCACTACACAGTATATCCATGTAACAAAATTGTCCTTGTTTCCTTGTTTCCCTTAAACTTACACAAATAAAAAATTAATTAAAAAACAACAACAACAAAGGAGGCAAGAGTACCCTCTTAAATTTTTCACACATCTGGATAGTGTTTTACAGTTTTCAAAGGACTTTTGTAGAAACCATATGGTGAGTCTCATAATTTTCTTGTGAGAAAGATGAAGCAGAGTGTATCCACTTTGTGGATGAGCATATTAAGGTTCAAAAGGGTTATGTGGTTTGCCCAAAATCACATGATGGAGAATGGCTAAGAACAGAACCCAGGTTTTCTGATTCTCATGGGAAAGTCAAAATGCTCTTTTTGGAACAGCTCTTCTGGAAAGTTCTATCCCTCTTAGACCTCAGTGTAAGCAAGGATGCAGTCCATTGGGAAGAGAGGGAATCTAAAAGCCATGTTGTCAGTCCCAACCAAGCTTACTAGCTTTGTAAAGAGCTTACTAGCTCTTACTCCTTGGGTAAAGAGCATCTAATATCAGAGCCCAGGGTTCGAACTGTGGACCCACTTCAGCCACTGCACCTCTGGCCAGAGTAATCAAATTCAATAGCCTCATAAGTATCGCAGAGTCGAGGTCCGACAACACATTGAAGAGAGTGCTGGTTTTCATACTTATTTTCAGAATAGCAAAACCCTTTCTATATTTTCTAGCAAAATCCTATTCAAAACGTAAAATATAATTCAGAGAAAAGGAAACCTTTCTGTGGTTAAATGGGAATGGTGGGATGATGGTGGTTGGTTACTCCTGCTGGCTGCTCATGGGGACCGGACCGTAAAGCACCCCCAAAGAACCCTAAACTCCTTGGAGCCCTTTAAAAAATACCTCACCTTAGCATTTAATGCCATTGAGGGGAGTATATTTGTGTTGTGTTTGTGTTATATTACTATGTGTGCCTGTGTATGTGTGTGCATGCGTGTATACTGAGGTGGGCAGAGGATTCTACCTTCTAACTAATATGGGTCTCCTCCTAAAGACTGGGCAGATATCTTAGAATCTCCTGCTGCTGACCGCAAGAGATCAAAGGGAACAAGTCATTTGGGAGAACTGGGTAAAAAAAATATATATAGCCCTAAGCATACACCCTACCACAGCAAAGCAAGTGGTGAATCTGCTTCCATAATAATGGTTAATAGCACTGCTGGTTAAGAGGCAGGCACTGCTCTTTGTACTTCAAGAGTGTTAGGGTTTTAAATGTTTTATCATATCCCTTTGAGATAGCTGCTGTCATCATCATGACTCTGCTGGACTGAAAAATCGATACATAAAGAGGTTAGCTAACATTCTCAAGCTTTTGCTGCTTGTAAGTGGTAAAGCTGAGCCCAGACACATGGAGAGTCAGGGTCAGAAGCACACCCTGTGACATATCCAGATGGGGAAGGCAGCAACCAATCCCACCTCTGGGGGAGCCTCTCCCCAATCCCAATCCAGGTTCTAAGCACGTCCTGGGTGGCAAGTTGCAATCTCCTTGGGGATCTCCAGTCTAGGGTGAGTGGTGATTATGGACCCGTGACTGGCTGGCTCCTGGCCAGGACCTGGCATTTGCATTTTTCACTGGGCCCCGCAAATGATGTGGGGCTGGCCCTGGTTGAAATACAAACCCAGATA